ACTTGATAATATTAATAATAATATATAATTATAATATTATATAAAATTTTAAATTTATAATTATAACATAATTAAATGTAAATAAATATATTTAATATCACAAGTAAACATTTAATTAAAAAAAATCAATAATATAATGATATCTTACTATTATAAGAGAATAGTGATTATCCGCCTTACTTGTTAAATATTAAGAGTAATATTATTTCAAAACTACTCATTTTGATAAACACTTATTAAAAAAGACTAAAATATCCTATTTTTAAAACATGAATTAAGGTGTTTTTCGTTTTTTTTGTTTTTAATCTTTTAAAGGTAAGGTAGACAAGTACTAATCCATATTATAAAATGACACTATTACATAATATTATAACTATATAATTTTTTTTTATCATCAATACCTTGATTTAGGATTTATTTGGTTTGAAGAGAAGAATGAAAGATCATTTAATTCAATGAAATTAAAATATTAATCCAAAAACTCAATATAAATAAAAAAGATTAATGTATTTTAGTTCAAATTACATATTAAAAATACAATTTTAATAAATTACTAAATTATTTTTAATAAATAAACATTAAAAAATTTCATTAAAAGCATTTTAATAATTGTAATAGTTAAACTACACTTTAGAAATACAATCTAACTTAAAAATTAATTTAAAAAAAATAAAATTATCTCTTTTATCCTTTCCTTTATTTCTCTTATATCATATAAATTTTTCATAAGAAGAAATCTGATTTCAAACCTATACAATATCAAATAAGATTTTTTTTTCTCTATGTTAGTTCTGAATATTTAGAAATCACATTATACTTAACTAATTTAAAAAATTAAATTACATTAAATCTAACAAAAAAGAAACTCTCTTAATATTTTTTTAATTCATAAGATATTAAATTTAAAATTTTATATTAAAAAATCTAATTTCTTCCACTTTAAATTAACAGGTTGATGGTCAATTATCAAACAAGTTACTCTCGCCTTCAAATTTCCAACGAAAATAATAATCGCAAAGAGTGAGTAGTGGAAATTCCACGTGTGAATACCTAGAGGATCCATTCGTTATTTTCTAAAAATTCAGATAATTTCCAATATTTTCATTTTTCAACACTGATCCTCTCCTGTTCTCCGATTCTTTCTCGGGAAGTCCAAACCCACCCACTACCCTCACCACTCTCGTCATCTCTAACCAGCAGAAGCCTCACCTCCAGATTATCAATGGCGGCTCCATTTTTAACACTGGTATTTCCCCTTTCTTCGCTTCTAGTTCCCACCCAACTGGGTATTGCTTCCTCTCTTACTGATTTTCTCTTGTTTATGTTCTTGCAGTCAAATGTGGGTACGCTTCCGCGTCCAACAAGCCTATCCAAGAACAGTATTCCAATCCCTACGTGTAATGCTGTGAGGGTTTCAGGAAAATTTCCCATTTCGAAGATTTCATGGTCTTCAAGCTCCTTCTCTCGCTGTCTGCGTCTCGCTCCTCTCACTTCTTCTTCCAGAAATTCCCGTCTTCTTTGCGTCCGAGCAAGTGCAGAGGTTAGTTTTCTTTTGGAAATTCAATGAGTTTTCCGGTCTGTGATTTTGAAAACTATAACCTTTGATTGATTTCATGGATTCTAATGGAGATTGCAAGGTTTAAAAGTAATCATTTTTGTGTTTACCTCTTTTAGTTTTTAATCACTTCTTGCAGGTTGCAGATTTACAGTCGAAAGTAACCAATAAAGTGTTTCTGGATATCGGCATTGGGAATCCAGTGGGTAAGCTTGTTGGGAGGATTGTGATAGGATTGTATGGTGATGATGTACCACAGACGGCTGAGAACTTCCGTGCACTATGTACAGGTTGTGTTATCCACTTTTATTTCAACAACAATTGCCAATTATCAGTTTGCATCTTTGTTCTTTTTAGTTGATGTTGTTTTTTAATCAATCCTAACTTTTATTTTTATTTATTATTATTATTATTATTATTTTGTATTATTAGGGGAAAAGGGCTTTGGATATAAAGGTTCCACGTTCCATCGTGTCATCAAAGATTTCATGATTCAAGGAGGGGATTTTGATAAAGGAAACGTGAGTGCTTCTGTGGAATTCTTATATTTTACTTTTTAGTCTGGCAAATTATGGACGATGAAGTAGGGCAGTGATGATTTCATTTCCTAGTTGGATTACTTTCCTGCTTAAGGCCTATTCCTTTTTCTCCTAAGATGCACCCTCATCATCCACTAGCTAATGGCTGTTGTTACCTCCATGCTCGCATATCCTAAAAGTAACCAGCTGAAGCCTGTATCTTCTTCACATTGAATGTAGGCCATAACGATTGCCCAGTGTTTTGATTTGACTGTAATTTATCTCTATAACCAGAGACAGATGACTTCCTTAACAACTACTGTCACTTACTGTAAAATCTAGCCAGCAAGCAGAAGCATGTAATATTCATATAGTGAGAAAAAGAATTATTGGCCAAGCTTAATGTCTCAAGAAGATTGAAAAATTTTGTGTTAGCATCAAGTCAGCTGTACATGTGAGATAAAATTTTGATATAAACACTGGCCCATAACTCCCTGCTTATTTGAGAGAAGAGAGAAAGGAGTCTCTTCTCTTGTGAATGAGCTGCACTTTTTTCAATGATTTAATGATCATCAACAGTGTAATACTCCAAAGAACTGAAGAAGTCCTCAGAAAATTTGTTCTTAAAATTTCTTTCATTTGTTTTTTCTGCTAACTTCAAATGCATCTATCTTGTTATCCTAATCAATGACAAGCAACACATGCAATAAATTGAGAATGTGCATGTGTGTTAAATTATTATATTTATTTTTGTTATCTACATACTAGAAAATAAGTTATTTGATTAGCATTTTAGCCCATTGAAAGCCTTTCTCCATTTTAATAATTAGTTTAGACAGAACCATTTTAATTTTAACATTGTTGGTTTGTCACATCATTTCTTTTTGCCCTTCATTTATGTATTCCTCACTTCTGTCAATAAAATGATAAGTTTTCCCTTCTGTTGTGCCTCTCATTATGTTTTGCCTGGGACATTAATGTATGAGCTTGTACATAGAATTAGAAAGTTGAAATTTATGGCATGGAACTATTTTAGTGCTTCTCCTATTAAATTTGAAATTTATTGTAGGGGACTGGAGGCAAAAGTATATATGGCCGTACATTCAAAGATGAAAATTTTAAATGTAAGTTTATTCTCATTTCTTATGTAATTATTATTTTTTTATTGCCATCAATTATTTTGTTAATTTAATATATCCTTTTTCCTTGGAAAATTATAACAGTATCTGCTATATAGTGTAATGTTAAGTAGAAGCATATCTGGTCCTGTATAGATTTAGAAAGTGTTGTTTCCATATTCTTTTCTTCTTTGTCTTCTTTTTAAACTGTCTTTTACAATGCAATACTGGAAGCTATCTATCACTGCAGAACATATTTCTTACATGTAGATGTTTTGCAGTATCCCATATTGGACCAGGAGTGATTAGTATGGCAAATGCTGGCCCCAACACCAATGGGAGTCAGTTTTTCATCTGCACTGTGAAGGTATGTTCGGTTCCATTGTGCTTTTTGGAAATGTTTGATTTATTGTTATTGTTTTAATTTGGGTCAGGTCAAGATACTTTATTAAATGCATGATGGTTTGTTATGGTTCTCCTTGTTATAAGCTTAAATTGCACCATACCTACCTAATGAGGAAGTGATCTAGTTGAATATGTTAATCCCTTTATTTCCTTGGCAAAATACAAAGACAAAGTTCCTGAGGAACACAAATGGTGATGGATGCTTTTTGATGGCAACATACTAAACGGTTGTCCCCTGCTCACTTTCTTAAGCAAGAAAAATAAGGAATGAATTATTTCAGATGTTCCTCTCCTCTCCCTTACTAATTTGGCACTGGATACAATTCCATATTCAAATCATTCTTCAGATGATAAAAATTTGTGTATGATCTTCTTTTTGACAAGCATAAAAGTAAATGTACTTTTAATTACTGAATCTCTTTTTCATTGTGATTTATATATAGGGATTGTGGGAAATCAGTCCTTCTCGGCAATTAAAATGTTAGGAATGATAATGAAAATACTTAAATAGGCTTAATGAATTAACAACCAATGAAGATTCATTAAGGGTATTTGAACAATTTCATAGGCAATCTTGACATTTTAAATGCTAGGACATCTTTGATTTTTACTTTTCTCTTATATATAGACATGGCTTGTCAAATTCAGTTCCCTTCTGTCCTTAAATATTACCAGGTGAAGTTGGTGCTTAAGTATTCCAGACGGTTCTGCCATAACATTGACCACGCTACTCCCTTACATTTTCTTTGCAAAAGTACCTGCTTTTTACAGCAATCATTACATTGATGATTGTCATGTGAATAATTCCTTTAAAAAGTTGAAATACAATTGATTCTGCATTGTGATTTTCATTCAGCTTACTGGTGTCCTTCCACATGTTCTTGTTTATTGAATTCAAAGAAAAATATTTTAGGAGGTGAAATTTTAGATTAGTTACAGGTATTAACTTTTGAGTTGAGTTCTGTATTTATTTATATTCATTATTGTGTCTTGGCAAATGACAGACACCATGGCTGGATGGAAGGCATGTTGTGTTTGGGCAAGTTTTGGAAGGCATGGACATAGTCAAGCTCATTGAATCCCAAGAGACAGATAGAGGTGACCGTCCTAGGAAGAAGGTAACCATCATTGACTCTGGTGAGCTTCCAGTGTCTGAAGCTTGATTCTATTTGCTTCATTTTAAACTCCAGAACAGTTTTCTCAGTTTAACAAGATCCGACGAGTTCAGTTCTTCAGATCACTTTGTAATAAGTTGGGGACATTACAGCTAACTGATGAAAGCATTGAAATGTATTTCAAAATCTCATCGTGGATTAGACCATTGGATTGCAATCCCTGAAATTTGAGAGTGAAGAGAAATAAACAACCCGGGTCAAGTTGTGGGGTTTTTTTTTTTTTTTTTCCTTTTTTGGTAGTTACTGTCTTGGTGTCCTTCGTTTAGTTTTTGTAAACTCTAGACTAATTCCTCTTCAAGCGATTTTAAGAGTGTATCCCTCGTATCTACTTATTACATTCAAAGAAATCAATTTCTTTAAATGTTAACTCTAAGATTTGAACTCTAAATTGATTTGCAAAATAATACTAATAAGTGGACTTTACCTTTCTTGTTCAAATTGTGGGGTCATGTTTGTGATGGATTTGATCAATCTTATTTTGATGAGCTTAGAGTCAGTTGTGAATTGGACTGCCTAAACAGATTGGGCTTAGAGAGTTTTATAGTACTTTGAGCCGAGGTCCACCAAACAGAAAAGGCTTTGTTGTACGGGCCCAAATTCCTTCTGACCGTGGCAAAGGTAAGAGAGGGCAGATCCATTAAAAATAAATAAATAAAGAAGAAGAAGAGGATGGAAAAGGCAGAGTTCAATTAACAAAGAAGGATGCATTTTTAGCCCATGGTCAAAAACAAAGATGTTGGTATTTAGCTTTCTGAAATGTGCCCAGAGAAAGGTAAATGAAAAGGAAAATAAAAAAGCTCTGCCATGAATTCTATCTTGCCATCTCTAAACTTTTTGTGTAAAACCACGCCTATCTTCTATTTTTTAGCATAGCGGTTAGGTGGTATCATAGACTAGTTTTCATATAGCATATTAAGTTCACATCTTTGGTATGGTGCAAAACAGACCATTTAGGTCAAATTGAGGAATACATGAGAAACTATCTTATCATTGGTTTTCCTAAAAAATCAAATCTTAATCAATAAGGTGAGAAGTAAATTCATTACTAACTAGACTATAACCCTTAAATACAAGTACACTGCTTGTTATTCATCCCAAAATTAGGGAATTTGTTCTTCTCGTGTGTCCCCAAAGATTAAACTTTGATCAACATGAAGCAACCCCCTTGTTTAGCAAGTAATAAACATTATAACAACATAGCAGGCGCTATTGATAACAATGGTTTATAATTTTATTGTTAGTTATGGTGTTTGGAAATATCACTTTATAAGTTGGCCTTAATATATTAAGTAATAAATATCAGTTGTTCTATCAATTAATAATTATAGTTATTAATTATTTTTAATAGTCAAATAATATTAAGGGTGACCTTAACAAAAGGCCGACTAGCTATAACCATTCTCACTAGGTATTTGGTCCTCATAGCCATTTAATATCTTGTCCAAATTTCTTTTCTATTTTTATTTATGAAAATCGAAAATACTATAATTATAATACCATATGATATTATAAATTTATAACATAATATGTAGTTATATAATTGGTTATTTTCATAATTGGTTATTTTCATTTAAGGTTTCATCCATAAAATTATATACATTTATTAATTTAATATCATTTTATAATTGTAAATTTAAAACTTTATATAGCATTGTAACTATAACATTGTCATTGTGAAAATAATGTATATCAATGTCAAATCTATGGTATCTCAATTCAAAAAAATTATCTTTCAATTAATATTTTCAAAAATTGATTGTTAATTCAAATGATTTATTCATGTAGAACATATATATAAAATTTTAAGTTGACTTAATTTATATCTATAATTATTTGATTAAAAGATTATATTTTTTTAACATATATTTAATAATATTAAATTTTATATAATTAATAAATTAGTTAAATATATTTAATTAATTTAAAATTTATCATACATAATTCACAAAAATAAAATATTAAATTTAATCATTAATTTTTCAAAATATATATTGTAATATGGTGTGTTTAAATTAGAATTTAATAAAGTTAAAACCAATATTATATTCTCTTTATTCAATCTTACAAGAGAATGCTTTTCTTAAAAAAAAAAAAGGCAATGACATTTTTTTTTAATTAGAGCTACACAACAAGTTTAATATGGGTTAAAAAAAATTGAAGAATCCTTTTATAAATTTTGTTCAATAAAAATATTTAAATACTTCATAACTGAGCATGGAGTCTAAATTTTTTAAAAAATAATAAAAATAAAAATATCTGAACTAAATTATTAATCAAAGTACTGAACTCTTATTTTTTCATATTCCTATGAATTGTTGAATTGACGTTTGACAAAACGTCAAGATAACTACATACCTATGATTCATTTGGTTCGGCAAAAATGAACACGAAAAATTGGTTTTGGACCGGCGTAAAAGAAAGACTGGACCCCATACGTGCTTTGAGGAGGATACAAAAAGATCCCCAAAACGTGACCTGTGATGGACAATGGGGACCCAGTCTGTGCTTGTTTTTTGAACTAAGTTGAAATCATATGAATTTTATTAAAGTCCTACGATATTTATATAAAAAAATTTTATTTCACTAATAACAATAAATGACTAAATAAATAAAGTATAATTAAAAATTAAAAATAAAAGTAGATCAAATTTAATATTAAAAAATTTCTAAAAAAGACGATGAGTAGATCACACGGTGGGAACCTAGTTTGTTTGGTTTTTTTTTTTTTTTTGAACATATTTGCAAGGGTGGGTTTCGAACCCAGCCCGGAAGAGGGGAGAATGCACCGGGGTGACTATTGCCACTAAGCCGCAAAGGTCAGGTGCGGGAACCTAGTTTGTTTGGTTGCCATAGGTTCCACAAAATGAATTTAGGGTATTCCATAGAAAAAATAGCTCGGATAAGTTTTATGACTTAAAAATTGAGGTATTATATATTGTGGAAATGATTATATGATTATATAATTAATTAAAAAATATATACAGGTGATTATAACAAAGGATTAATGGGTAATAATTTATATTATAAAAATTTAAGTAAAAAATATTTAAAATTATATTATTTTAACAAAATATTATAAAAAAATTAAAATAGTTTCATTCTCATTTTAAAAATTAAGATATTTTTATTCTTTTTAATAAAATTTTATTAAAATAACGTAATTTTAAAGTATTTATCACTTAACTTTTTATAATACATGTTAATATCCACTTTTTCATAATAAAAATATAATCACCTATTTTCAAAAGATAATTTATTATAATTATTTTTCAACCAAAAAACTTCTAATTTTTTTTTTTGGAAAGTGAATATAATTGATCATTACCTTTCTTTTATAAGATTACTTAAATATTTTTACATATAGAAAAAATACCCATCAACCTTATCTCTCAAAAATTAAGAGACAAGACTTTAAAAAACGATGTTGTTTTACCTATTCTCGTCTCATATCCATTGTTTTCATTTTTTTTTCATGAAGTGGAAGTCACAACACGAAAAAACAATGAAACGTCAACCCCAAGCGCACAAAAATTTGAATCTTCCTCGTTGCCTCAAGTGCAGCCCCAAGCGCACAAAAAGCTAGACCTCCTCACTAAATCGATTTGAAGATGATTGTGAAGAACTAGTCGAAAGAACCCTAAACAATTAACTCTTCCTTCCACTCTTCAAGCATCCATAATTAATCAAAATTCAAAGTAAATCAAAGTAAAAAAAAAAATAGTGAAATCTGAGAGGGGAAGAAGGAAATCAATTTGGGAAGACTAGAGATCTAAGAAATTAGAGTTGCCCATGAAAACAAGATGAAAAGGCATTGCCTAAAAAAAAATGAAAACAATGGATATAAGATGAGAACAAGTAAAACGACATCATTTTATTAAGTCTTACCTCCTAAATTTTGAGAGGTAAGGTTGACGGGCTCTATTCCCTTTATATATTAATATTACAACAAAAAAAATGATAAAA